AGAAGCAGGAAGCCCGGGCAAGGATCCAAAGGGTGTGGAAGCCAGCAAAGGTGGAAGTTCAGAACAGCCAGCAAGGTAGGCGGGCAGGAGGGTGGGGCAGAATGAGGAGTGAGCGTTTGGTTTTCATGCCCGCTCTGTGGCCTCTGCTTCCTCCGTGAATCTATAGAATTTTCATAGTGTCGGCGCTTGAGAGAGGAAAACCACAGGCAGCAAAGTCCAGGAGAGCCACTATTCCCCCATCCCCATGAGCTCCACTGGTCTCACAATGAGCTCCCTTGCTGTGGGCCGCGAGTTGCTGCTCCTCACATGTTCACATGATGGCCTGCTCTGCAGGCCCTTGACCAGCACGCTATGTTCGCAGCACTTGCATTCCAAATCCAATTGGTCCATTTGTTTCTCTGAGCTGATGTGGGTGACAATCAATACGTTGTTTTTGCAAGTTGCAGTAATTTTTCCCCAAAAATGTTTACCAGATTCTACCTCTTTTTAATTAATGCTGGCAGGTAATGCCTCCTCCCACAAGGAAACAATTCCCTCTTCTAAGCAGGTGTGCAGTTATCCTTCATCCATGACAGCTTAGACACAGGCAAACAGGAACAACACACAACACCTTCCAGCAGCTATTCAGGAAAAGGTCTTTCTGTTTTCTTCTGAGTCTCTGTGGAGTTGGTTTGTTTGTTTTAAATGAGACAATGTGCAAATGGCTCTCCTTAGGAGAAGGGAGTTCCAGTGAACAAGGCTGGCCCATTTTCCACTGGGTAATGAGTGCACACAGGTAGCTGCGGGGAACAGTGATGTATTCAGTTGTCACCCTGATTTTGCACTGGAGCTGGTGGCCTGTTTAACATATGAACATAAATCTATCACCTGTTTTTACAGGTTCACATGTGGGGAGCCAAAGTCCTAGAATAATGCATGCCTGTTGTTTGCGAGATTGGCATAGCCCTTCCATCATTTCTGTAACACCCACGAGCATTTAGAGGCACTGTATATTACAGACTGTAACACACACACACACACACACACACACGCGCACATACACATACACACACACACATACACGTGCAGTCACACACACATATACACACAAGCTGGGGGGAGTGAGAGAGACAGAAAGTGTGTTATGCATGCATTAAAACTGTGAGTGTCAATAAGAAAAGAGGAATTTGGGAACACTGGGAAACCCCTAGTCTCTCAACTTCTTAGAAGTAAAAGTATGAGATGAGCAGGGCAATATTTGATCTAAAATTAAAGCAGCCACTTTGAGTGCTCTATAAAATGAGAACAGACACGGTCTTAGTTTATTCCATCACCAACATTCTTGCATTCTAAGACTTGGAACTTGGTGTAAATGAGAAATTACAAATCGAGTTTTAGTAAAGGAGAGAAGAACGGCCACCATAAAATGAGAGCTTTGGGCATGTACAGACATGGACGTAACACGTGGCACTGAGTGAGGAGGCTGGAGGTGGCAGAGACTACATTTGACACATTGCTGGATCCAAGCATCTCTGAGGACTGAATCAAGGCTATGTGATTATAGGAACAAAGATGGATACAATGTACCATGGTAAAGAGGCGATAGATACTCAGTTGTATACTAACAGTGATAAAGGTGGCTGGGCAGTTCCCAGATGAGAGATTGAGTGTTTCCTAGGAAGTTTGGAAGACCAGCCTTGGAAGAGCACCTGGCCAATATACTGTGCATGAAGATTTACACTCCGATCAGCATTCTGCTCCCCATAACAGCTACAGGAATTGTTAAGCCAGAGGTGCTAACTTCTAGAGCTACTGTACCCTCTAGGGCAGTGGTAGGGAGCTTTTTAAAATTACCAACATCCAGGCTCCAAACCAGACCAATTAGGTGAGAAGCTGCGCCTGGGCACATGCATTGTGCAAACTTCCCAGGTGACTCTAGTGGGAAGCCATGGCTGAGAACAGCGGCTCTGAGGAAATGTAGCACAGATTCCTCCAATCAGTGGCCAAACTGTGCTCTAACGAAGAGACCACACAGGCACAGGCCCTGAGAAATGTTATGCATGAAACTGACTATGGTTCCCTTTGTCAGCAGGTAAATTCCCCTACTCCAAGTACAGTGCAGTGACTGGTGGAACAGTCCCTGGGGTGCAAACTGCTCTCCATTATAGTCCAGTACCTGGACTGTAATTCATATTAAGTGAATGAATAAAAGTCACTTAGCTTCTCTGGGCATTAGGTTTCTTATACCAAAAATAAATAAAGGATTAAACCATACCATCTCCAAGACTCCTTCAAATTCTAAAATTTGGAAACCAATATAGATCCTCTATAATCTATCTCTATTCTCCCAATAGAACTTATCACCCTTCACATTTAAAATAAACCTTCCGAGGAACGATAGTTACATAAGGTGTTAATATTAGGGGAAGCTAGGTCAGATGTGTGTGGGAAAATCCTTATTCTGATTTTGAAACTTTTTTTTGCAAACTTGGGACACTCCAAATTATTCCAGAATTAAAAGTTTATTTAAAAAAGAACCTCCCTGGTTGCGGTAAGCTGAGATTGTGCCACTGCACTCCAGCCTGCGTAAAAGGAGACTCCTTCTCAAACAAACAAACAAACAAACAAACAAAAAACCAACCTCCCCATCCCTTCAGGTGGCTTATTCCCTCTCTTCTGAACAGGTCATGCGAATAACCGTGTTTGAACTTTTCCCTAGGCTAGCCTCCTCTTCTGAATGTTTCTTTCCTTTTCCCTCTGTCTCTTCCCTCATCATTCCCATTTGCATTCCATACCTCTAATTCGTAGATGCACTAACTCACCTCTGAGATCCTTTCAGCCCCCAGGCCCTCATTTTGTATTTCACCATCTCCACCAGCCCTTTCTGTTCTCTTCCTTCATTCAGGTTTTTTTTCATCAGTCAACACCCAACCAGGAAAAGATAATCAGAGGGAATCTGTGACAGAAGTAATGCGAAAGATGAAAAGTAAAATGGGGAGGTGAGAGTGAGACTGCAATGGAAACAGTAGAAAGTCACTCTCTGTAGGCTGGAAGGATGAAGGGAGAAGGTAGTGCCGCTAGAGCTCAGAGTCCAGCTGCCGCTTTACCTGGTGGGAGTTGGAGCCCAGGGCCGGGTGGGGCAAGGCATGGAGGAGAGACCTAGAGCATGAAGGAGACAGTGCGCCTGCCAAAACACTGCCTAACAGAGGGGAGAAACATACTACTTTCTCCTTTCTTCCTGCCTTCCGATCTCCCAACAGTGCCTCCCCTTGGCCAAACCAACTCAAAAACCAGATGTCATGGAAATGTGGGAAACAAGGTATTACAGGAGTCAGCCCCGTGTGATAACAGGGACAGGAAAGTATAAGAACTGGCTCTGAAGGCAGAGGGCCAAGAATCCACGGAGTTCTGTGTGTTATCTGTGTAACACTCTATAATGCCTGATCGTATAATGTTCTGTCCAATAAAAATATAATGCAAGCCATGAAACATGAGCCACATAGGCTATTTCAAATTTTATAGTCACATTTAAAAATAAAAGTACATGCAATAAATTTTAATAATATATTTTATTTCATCCAGTATATGCAAAATATTATCATTTGAATGTGTAATCAATATTACCAGGTTAAATATTTTCCATTTTTTCACATTAAGTCTTTGAAATCCAGTATATGTTTTACACTTACAGCACGCTTAGACATTTCTCAGCAGTCACAGGGGGCTAGTGGCTTCCTACGAGAAAGCACAGCTTTAAGAGCTTCCAGTGATTTCTCATGGTTTCAGGTTTTGGGAGAGCGTATGATGCTTGTGATAAGACAAGAACCCACCATGGAGCCTACCTCCGTATCTTAAAAAGGACCTCAGATAAGTGAAAGTTTCAACAAATTCTTACTGAACTCAGGATTGTAAAAGGAAGAAGCAAACACAAGGGAGACCTGCTGATACACATTGTAGAAGTCTGAGAAAAACAGTGCTATATATACCAGATTTAATAACATTTAGAACTGTTTCACACATCATATTAATGAGCTTCAGCATTGTAAGCTGTGCTAGTGACTGCAGCGTTTCTTTAGATGATGTTGGATGATGATATATTAGTTTTCAATGCTTCCACTTTTATCAATAAGGAGACTAGCAGTGTTCAGAAACTTCTCTCACGTACCCGTCTCAGAGTTGAAGGGAAATTTTCCTTAGAGCGGGTATTAAGTCAGTATCTGGGCACTTTGGGCTTATAGACATCTCAATAAGTCAGGAGGATCACAGTCAGATACACACAATGTGGGGTAAAGATTTGTTCTCACGGAGGAGGGAAAAGAAAGAAGCCGGGGCTTAAAGCTGTGACCATGTCATGTGTCTTTAACCGAGCCACGGGTCCCTCACTGTTGACTGTATTTCTAGTCTTCACACCCTATGCATATTTTACAAATTTTTTGTATTCTTTTGAAACTCAGCAAAATCACAAAAGGCACTTGCACGAATGCACAAGTTAATGAGAAAGATCCTAGAAAAGGAAGGAAGGAAGAGAAGAAAGGAAGGAAGAAAAGAAAGAGAGGGAGGAAGGGAAGAAATAAAGGAATCCAAACAAAAGCAGGATATACAATTAGTGTAAGTTGACCTCACACAGAGCACAATAACCAAAGAGATGCCTCGCTGTGTTTTGAAATCCCATCTTTATGGTTTGCCCACTGTACAGCCTCACACAGCAAGAGTGGTGTCTCCTAGACGGGCAGACGTGCTCCCGGGTAGATAAGCCTGGCCCACAGCATTGCCCTCTACCCTCCGGCACGGGATTGTCTTTTGACAGTCCCGTATTCTCCATGAGATCATTCTTTCAAGGCAGACCTTTGGGTTGGCTTTTATAAGAGAAAAGGACACGCACATAGTTTCAAAAATAAGGGTGTGGTGGAAAAGCAGAACCTTGGTTCCAAGGCCAGCTGAGCCCATCATAGATCAGGGACAGTCCCTGGATTCTTAGAATAACTCCAGGCTTGAGAAAAACAACCCACAGAACTAAGTTGGGGTCCAAGGAGCTCTTGAGCACCCCATGACTCATAGCTGAAGCATTCCAGCTGCTCGTCTTCTCTCACTCACAGCTGACTCTTTAGGCCATTTCAAGTCAGCCTTGACTAAGAAGGGCCTGATGGACTTCTCTTCTGAAGCTGTCACCAGCTCTCAAGCCCTGCTCTGGACTCAAACCTGGGGTGCAATGGCTCAGCGTGTCATTTTGTCTGCATTAGCTCAGTGATGTCACTTCTGTGACCAAAGGCGTCTGCTGCCACAGGGAAGAGAGCTGCACCAAGACTCGGCATTCCAGGCACAGATTCAAGAAAAAGGAAGTCAAGGTAGGTAGGAGATCAGCTTCATGGGAAAGCTGCAAGTAGGAACCAGGTCAGCGAGATGCCAAGGGTGGCAGCCAGGTGTCTGGGCTCTGGCAAGTGACAGCCTGAGCTGCTGAGCTCTGGTGAACAAGGCTGACCTCTAATCCTGTTTCACCTTCCTGTTTTACATTCTCAACTGCATGGCAGTGGTATCATTAGACCTAGAAGTGTTTCACATTAACAGAAAGGTGTCAGCTTTGGTAAGAGACTCCTATTCCTTACACAGGCAGGATGAGTTCAGCCTTCTTAGCCATTAAGTGCCCTTGTTTCTACTAAGTAGAGAAAGTCATAGGCATGTTTTATTTACCAAGAGATACTTCTAAATTTCCTCCCAGCACCCAAGAGAGGAGAGCGAGAACGATGACAACCGCTCTCAACATATTTCAACTGACAGAGTCACAAAACGAAATTTGGATTGGAAAGAGCCTGAAGAAACAAACAAAATATATCTAAGCTTATTCCATATTTTGTTTTTCTTCCCAATAATTCAAATGGCCTTTCAAGGCAGGATTGATCTCATTTTATTGTTCACATAACATGCAGACCAATGATAACCCTGTCTGGTGCTGATGACAGCGATGGTATGGCGCCATCCTTGCTGATGTGTCTGTGCATGTGCACGTGTGTATGGTATGCACGTGTGTGGGTAAGTGTGTATATATATGATACTAGCAGCATACAAATAAGGTTGCTGAGTTGGAGATGTAGTGAGTAAACTCCAAGAATAGCAGGGACACTGTTAACCCCCAGAAAAATGATTTGGAATTTAAATAGCAAGTGTTCAGACGTGATAGGCAAAATAAACCTGGAAGACTGCTTGTGATACAGATGGGATCTGATGCTCTACGAGCAGGGAGAGGCGCTGTCAGTATTTTGACAGACACGGAATGACTGTTTAGACTGATGTTCAAAGTGCAGCGCCAAGGAGGGGCTGCATGGTGGGGCTTGGCACGTTGGGAGGGGAGGAGGCTGGAGACCTTGGTGACAGATTGACAAGCCTGCACAGGAATTCTTTTCGAAGTGGAGGGAGAAGAGAGAAAGGAAGGAAAGATAAAGGCACAGCAATGCTGGGACGGTGGGATGCTGGTGGCAGGGTGAGGTGAGAAGGGCAGAATTGCATTTACCAGGTCTACTTCTTCAGGGGTTTTTCAAGAGGAAAAAGCAGGGGCCAAAAGCCAGACCACAGGGGGATAAGCATCACTTCCCAGTGCTTTATTTCTCTTCAAAGCTTGTGGCACCTTGATCTTAGCTTGCTTAGTGCTCCAGGCAGGGAAATCCCAATGACAAATGTCTCCCACGGGGGCTGAGGGTCAGAGAACAGAGCTCAACCAGAGGCAGCCATCCAGAAAGTGTCCCTCACCCTGAACCTGCAGACACATCACCCAGAATGGAAACTAGAGCCTGGACTGGTATCAAAGCACTGTAATCTGTGGCTGGAGGCTGGAGACCCCCATGTGGTAGTGGAAATGTCACCCCCACAATTGTGTAACCTCAGTCTACCCAAATCAAACCATTCCCTGCCGCTTCCACCCTGCTTGTGGCCCCTTAACACCCTTATATATGAGCCCTTATATGAGCCTTCCTGTCTGTGCTGAGGTCCAAGGTCCCTCTCCCCACCATGCTCAGCCTCTTCCGGTGGCTGTGGAGTCTTTGTTGTGATTTCTGTTGTGCACAGCAGTAGCTCCCGTAGCTCCCAGCAGGCAGTGGGGCTACACCCCACTGAAGTTAGGAAGGCTGCTTTCAAATCTTACCTCTGCCTCTCATTGTTCTGCCTCTCGAACAAAATTTTTACCCTCTTGGAACCTCAGTTTCCTGGTTTGAGGAGTGAATATTACGCAACATGAATAGCAGGTTTGTTGGAACTAGATCAGCACTTTTCCAGTAGGGGGCATTTGGCAATGTGTAGAAACCTTTTTTTGGTTGTGACGACCACAGGGCTGTGGGTGTGGATTCTGGCATCAAGTGAGCAGAGATCAGGAAAGCTGCTAAATATCCCAAAGGCACAGGACACCCTCCAACCTCCACATCAAAGAATTGTGCAGCCTAGAATGTGAACAGTGCTGAGGTTGCTTATGAAATGTCTGGTGCAGAGTGGATTCTTCATTGATGACAACTTCTATTCTCATGGGTCACTTTGTGTTTTTTATGTATGTGAATCTTGGATGGTTGTAAGTTTTTAAGGGCAGGCAGAGGCAGAGGCTGTGTCTAAAGCTTCTTTGTTTCGCATTCAGAGCTTTGCACAGTGAAAAGTCTCAAAGCTATCGCCTGCTTGGTAAAAGGAACCACAGAAAAGACTGACTCTCCTGGCAAAAGGATCATCTGCTTTGGTACTGCTGGTTCGTCTGCTCAAGGCATGAGATGGAAGTAAATGACACATCTCCATCCCCAATAAAACCTGATAGTAGATCACATGGAAACCACATTCAGATCACTTGAAAACAGTTCAAAAGAGAAAAATAAAGTCAAGTTCCTGCTTTCCAACAGGTTGCCAACAAAGGAAAGGCTGTTTGACTCCATCCATCCATTTTTACTGCAAGCCATCAAAGTGATATACGAGGAAGGCCTGAGCAGTACGAGGAAACTTCACCTTTGCACATAAATTCATCAGAAATGTTTCAAGTGACCCATTTTTGCTAGAAAATATTGTAGGTAAATTTCAGTGTCTTCCAATTGCTGCTTCATAATTATCCTAAAATATCTCAGACAACCTTACTGCTGTCGCATGCTCCCTTTTGTCCCTTGATGTCCCACATGGAACCTGGCCCATGGTTCCATGGCCAGTGGATGGTCTGCTGAGGGGGCGCTGAACCCTCCACATGGCCTGCAGAACTGACCAGAGTCAGGCTCTGGGCCAGCAGACCTGGGCAGGTCTCACCTCCCCAGTTTACTGCCCGTGGCCTTGGTCGAGTTACTTATCATCTCTCTTGCACTTGTTTCTGTCTGTGGATTGAGCATGTACATCACCTGTCCTTTGGGACTGTTGTGAGATCATATACACAAAGTGTTTTACATTAAGCCTCCCATACAGTGGCTGTGCAGTGGTAAATACCAGTTAGCAACCACACCGTTTAGAAAAGTTAACTGCAGGGCACAGTGGCTCACACCCGTAATCCCAGCACTTTGGGTGGCTGAGGCGGGTGGATTGCCTGAGCTCAGGAGTTCAAGGGCAGCCTGGGCAACATGGTGAAACCCCATCTCTACTAAAATACAAAAAATTAGCTGGGCTTGGTGGTGTGCACCTTAGTCCCAGCTACTCAGGAGGCTGAGGCATGAGAATTGCTTGAACCTGAGAGGTAGAGGTTGTAGGGTGCTGAGATGACACCACTGCACTCCAGCCTGGGCGACAGAGTGAGACTGTCTCAAAAAAAAAAAAATGTAAAGTGAGGAATGATCTCCCTTCAGGTTTTGGGTGGAAAATTATAATTGATAATACAGCTGACCCTTGAACAACATAGGTTTGAACTGTGCAGGTCCATTTATATGTGGATTTTTCTCAACTAGATACATACTGAAAATACCATATTTGTGGATGCAATATCCAAGTGTATACAAGTTCCACAGGGCTGACTATGGGGCTAGAGTATGCATGGATTTTGGTATACCTAGGTGTCCTGAAACCAATCCCCTGTGTATACTGAGGAATGATTGTATTGGCACAGCACTTCATAAGCTCCTTTCCTTTAGCCCATCGCAAATGATTCTGTGATATGGGTGAGCCAATGTTATTATTTCCTGCCCAAATCAGGTGCCCAGCCAGGGTCAAAGTCAGAATTCCTGCATCTGATGCTCTAACATAGTGGTTTTAAATTTGTCTGCCTCGGGGGATATATGACAATTGGTGGGTGCTATTGGTATCCAGTGGCCAGAGCCAAGGATTCTGCTGAACATCATGCAATGCACAGGACAGGTTCTCACAACAAAAAATGGTCTGACCCCAAATATCACTAGTGCTGAGACTGAGAAACCCTGCCTTAACAGGGCATCTCATATTCTTTCCACCAAAGCACAAGAATGTCACACTGAATAAATATCAGAAACTCCACCCTTTACAAAGAAGTCATTGATTCATCTCAAGGGCTGTGAGTTACAATGGAAAACTCCTGGAAATAGCTCTTTCTTTGTCAATTACCATATGTTCACTAAACCTCAGAGTCACAGTGGTTATTACAGAATTTAGGTGTGTTTGGGGAATACCCTAACTATATATGAGTTTGACCTCATAGGTAAAGTTATCTTGCATGAGTTCAGTTATAAAAAGTCAGTCTGCCATGAAGGGGGAGGTGGAGTAAAAGCAGTGTGTATTTACTGGGAGAAATCCACAATGTGAGACTGTTTATATAAATGTTAAATGTGTTCAGAAGGTGGGAAAAAGGAAACTCCTTTAGAATAAAGAATAAGAAAGTACAGAAACTTTTTGTTCTCTGTACATTTTTGTGTGCCTCTTGTATATCATATCCTGTGTTACATATGTTTTCCCAGTTTCTTCAAAGCAACCTTATCAGGTAGAAACTGAGGCTTAGACAAACTAGGTAGGTCAGCTGCAGTGGTTCATGCCTGTAAGCTCAACACTTTGGGAGGCCAAGGCAGGTGGTTTGCTTGAGCCCAGGAGTTTAAGACCAGACTGAGCAACATGGCAAGACCCTGTCTCTATAAAAATAAAAATAAAAAAATTGGCTGGGCGTGGTGGCTATAAGCATCGTTGGTATAGTATAGTATATAGTATAGCTGGCTGTATAGTTGGTACTAAACACGTGTATAGTGCCAACTACTCAGGAGGGTGAGGTGGAAGGATCGCTTGAGTCTAAGAGTTGACAGATGCAGTAAGCTGGTCCTATTGCACCACTGCGCTTCAGCCTTCAAGAGCCTGTTTCTAAAAAAAGAAAAAAGAAAAAAAAAACTACCATATATTTTTCAAATTTTAAACAAATATAGTTTCACATTTTAACATTCTGGAATAGATATGC